TTTACACCATTTCCTGTGAGTTCGTTTCTAAAAGAACGCCCACTGTCAGACCCAGCAGACATCTCTTTAATCTAGCTCTATAATGAATGACTTATAGCTGAGCTCCAAGTTTTATCTTCACACATTCCCTGAGTGATACGTCTGGATGTTATCATCGGCTGTGTGACAAACCCGCTCTGAGTTCAGCTGCCATGGGAACAGCAGCTGTTATGAAAACAAACAGCAGGGCGGACGCCTCAGAATTAGAGCGGTGATCTCATGGTCTTCATCAGGTGGCCCCAGGCTGGAAGACTCAGCAACACCGAGCAGAACCCAGACAAACTGACACAGAAAGCCGTAAAACCCTCAGAGGAAGGAGGACACAGATATCAGCTGGAAGAGTGGAAAAGCTCTGGAGCAGAAATCTGTTCCTACCCACTAGATCTGAGAAACAAGATGGTAAACAGAACCGAGATAACTGATCTGCTTCCTTAAGATCAACAGCAGAGAGAGAGAGACTTTTCATCCAGGAAGGTTGATGGTTGGTTCACAACATCCCAGCAGAACCCAGCCAGAACGCCGCTGCATGGTCCAGTTCTAGCGGTCAAGAGACCAAAAGTTTTGAACATAATAGTTACTTTTCTTTAGGTTTTTACGGCACTAGTGGCTTGTCTTTTGTACTGTGGGTACAAAAGAAGGGGAAAGACATGCAGCAAAGGACCGGAGGTCGTATTTGAACCCATTTCGACCATTTGAGGTCTAAGGCCTGGTTTATGCTCAGAAACCAGGTCGTCCGGTATGTGTCACAGTTAAGGCAATTCTACATCCGCTCTACACTAAGTATTTCCTGTTTAGTACCTAATGGCAGAAACTCTGGCTGTAGTGCCGTCCACAACGCCTGGCACACGTCGGACACTATCCCAGACACTGTGCAGGATGCTAGTTTGTAGCTCTGTGTGACGGTCTGTTGGTTTGCACCTGAACGGGTGAACTGTGTGTCGTCTGGCACACACGGAAACCCACAATCCTAGCTAATTCCTGATTGTCCCTCTTACGTTGTGGCATGGAACAACATAGCGTAGAACACGCTTCAAAATTGGGCATAAAACAAAAATATCTGAATCATAGCTGCAACAAGCTAACTGTGACACACTGCTGCTGGAGGATAACCAGGCCTTAAGGCCTCCGTACATGGGCCAACGCCTGCGTCACCGTAGCACGCCTGAAAGCAGCTCTTTACAATAAATATGTTTCAACCCGACAGCCGAAACTGGGCTGTTTGTTTCTGTAGGGCCCCCAGGAGCCAAACTCCTGCTCCAAACAGAACCGTTCTGGATTCGTGTTTTTCTAAGATCCAAAAGGTTTGGATGAAGGCAGAATATCCCTCTGAGCAGCAGCTGGGTAGCCGTCTATTCTCCACACTTCTGGTCCTTCTGAAGTTACTCAGATCCTAAAGCCGGGCGTACACTGTACGTTTTTTTGGCCTTTTCAGGCCGACTTTCCAGTCGTGAGAATTTTTTCAAGCGGGCCGACTTTAAGCCTCACCGTGCGTCCTGTAGTGTACAGTGGATAACGAGAGGCGAGTAGCCTCTCAGGGCAACCTCCCCATCAGGAATCGTACGGTCGGGAGAAAAACAAACAAGGATTAACCAGATCAGCGAGTCCGACCAGCGCCATCTCTCGGCGCCGAGTCCTGACGGGTGGTTTTTAGACGTACAGTGTGAGCAGGTAGATCGCATCAGAGCGTCGGGTCGCACAGTGTGAGAACATAGATCATGAGCTGTGAACTTTTAAACCCTGCGCTTTCATCGTACAGTTTGAGCTGTAGCTGCGTGAACGATTGAGTGTATGCCCGGCCTAACCAGTTCTCCTGCTTCCAATAATGTGGACCTTCTCCTCGGTGAGCTGCTCTGGGTTCTGCAGGGCTAATCAAAGAAAGGAGCTAATTTCCAGGAAAACTTGAATTTAAAACATCTGCACTGTTTGAGGAATAGAAAGTTAGGGGCAAAACCGTTCAGAGGGATTTATGTACCACCCACTGATGGAGTGGTGCCCTGGGTGCAGAGCCGATAAAGAGAGATCCTTCATCTGAGCTTCTCCTCCATACTACAGTTAGAATCCTCTTCCTGTCAGGAGGACTGGTCCAGATTTCACTACCGATGCTGGGAACCAGCTGCTAAAATAAAAGTTTAGAATAATAGAATAGACTAGAAAATCTCTTTATTGTCCCACAAAGGGGAAATTCTGGTGTTACAGCAGCAAAGCTATTGTAGAAAAAATAATCATCAGTTTTTCAGCCTGTTTGAATCAAAGCAAACTGCACCTTTTTTCTCTTAGTTGGGCTCTGGACTGAACCAGGATAAAACAAAACTCCAAACAGACATGAAATCTAGAGAAGCGTTGCTGAAGCCCACTTTAACAGGACTGGAAAGCAGGAAGGAAACCACAGCAAAAGAGAACCAGAGCAGCACCTCAGCGGACCAGACTGGAGGTCATCTTCTCTTACCTGTTTCCTCTCCCGCTCGCTCCAGACCTCAGGCTTCTGCTGATCGTCTCACGTCAGGAACAGCTGTGCTCTTTAGTCCCAACTTGGATCCTTTCTGCTTCCAGCCACTGTTTGAGGAGAAAACCAGACAGACGGCGGGTTGCTACTGAGGAGAACCAGCCTGAACCTCCTGATGTCCAGCTGGTGTCAGACCCGTCGGTTGAGGTCATCAGCGGTGACTCTCTGCTCTATATTTAACCTGTTCTCTCAGGCTGCCAGCAGCGCAGACTGAGGCTCTACCAGACAGCTGAAGTATCAGCAGCCTGTCCACTCCTCCTCCTCCTCCTCCTCCCTTTAAAAAAAGCTGCATTCTCATCTAAAAACATCCTCAAATATATTTTGAGACCCAGAAAGAATATCGTATTAACTTTTTATAACTGTTCTCCCCACTGTCATCTGCAGTTTCTGTCCCAGCTTGACCTCTCCACTTTGACCCATAATGAATCATGGGAAATGGTGGGGCACGAAGGATGCTCTTGTCCCTTCATGTGCGATTCTAAACAGGGGCAAACAGGGGCCAGTGCCCCTGCAGATCATTTCCTGGCCCCTGTACTGAAGACGTAATAGTCATACAAATTCTAATGTTCTAATATCCTCAGATGAAAAACTTTGAATCTGTCATGATTTAATTAAAGGTCTGACCCCAAAATGCAGAAGACCAAACAGAGAGCCCAGAGGGAAGACACTGCGGTTAGTTCAGGCTCAGTGGGAAATTAGATTCTTAGGTTTGAATTGGAGGAACAGGTTGCAGACTCACTTCTCCAGGAAAAGGTGTCCTTTATGGAATCCAGTCTGTGTGGGAAGATTTCAGTGATTGTCTTGTTTGGTGTTGGGCGGACGGGGTTTACTCAGACTGCGGTTGTTCCTAGAAGAACGGAGAAGCTGACTGGCACTCTGATTTCCTGCGGTACTTGAACGGGCTGTGGTGCAGATGAAACCTTTGCTCAGTGTGAAGCTCAAACGACCTCTTGGGGAAAGTGGATCCAAACTTCCTGTTTGGAGTGAACGGAGAAGCTGACTGCCACTCTGATTTCCTGCGGTACTTGAACGGGCTGTGATCTACGGCTCTCACTGGAACGGTTGGCAGCCGAGTGTGAAGCAGCCTGGATGAGGATCAGCGCCTCCAAATCCGAGACCGTGGTCTTGAGCCGGAAATGGGTAGAGTGAGAGGATGTTCTGCCCCTAGTGGAGGAGTTTAAATATTTGGGGGTCTTGTTCACAAATGAGGGGAAGATGGAGTGGGAGATCTACAGGCGGAATGGTGCGGCGTCTGCTTTGAAGCGTGCGCTGTACCGCTCTGTTGTGGTGAAGAGAGAGCTGAGCCAAAAAGCAAAGCTCTCGATTTAACGGTCGCTCCACGTTCCTACCCTCATCTATGCTCATGAGCTTTGTGTCATGACCAAAAGAACGAGAACCTGGATACAAGCGGCTGAAATGAGTTTTCTCCAAAGTGTGTCTGAGCTCTCCCTTAGAGATAGAGGGAGGAGCTCAGTCATTCAGGGAGGACTCAGAGTAGAGCCGCTGCTCCTCCACATCGAGAGGAGCCAGCTGAGGTGGCTCTGATGCTGCTCTCCCGTTGCAAAGGCGAATCAAAGCTTTTTTGTCCAAATTTTTTTTTATAACACTCCATCTCAGTTAAGTTACCTGCACTCGAATTAACGGACCCGGGGAAAAACCACTGACGATGTTTTTCAACAATCAGGAGAACAACTTCAACATGAAATGGACAGATCTGTAGCATCAACAGGGACCCAAACCTCAGGAAAAATCGGACATAGTTAATGTGCGACATAACTTAGACAGTTTTATTGTCGTTTTGTATACATATAGTGTATACAAAATGACAATTCGTTTAGTACAGCTTTCAGTTTCCCTTTTATTAAGTGCAGCAGTGGTGCAAAAACTTATTGATATGGAGGCTCAGGGCTTTAATAAATGGTGTAAATATGTTGTATTTGAACCGGGTCTTTGGCTCTTTACAACCACTCTTGAGCATTTTTCCTGTGGATAAACTTTACATGCACAAGTGCACTTTAATAATAATACTACTTATAATTCAGTGATAGTATCAAGGTGCCACTTTATTGTATCTCTTATATCCGTTGGTTTTCGCTGTCATTTTACATCTCTTTGCAGATGATGAAGCAGACTGAAAATGTTTTATCATTATCTCCCTTTTATCTCCTCTTTCTTTCATCTTTTTTAATTTTTTCCTTTCCTGTTCACTTACATTGCAGTGTCCATATAATCAGTAGTACTCCCTGCATGAATCATAATAAAGCAATTTATATGCATAAATCAAGCAGAACACATCTGTTGGGCTCTTTTTGGCATCAAGACAATTATTCTGTACACTGTAAAAAAAATGCTCTGAACTTCATAAATACTAAATATGATCTTCATTGCGTTTTAATGAACTAAATAGTGTGAGAACCCATCTATTCCGGATGTTCGAGCTTTTATTTTGAAGCGCCGTCGCTTAAACTTCCGGCATGGTGTGTATCTGTGGCTTAGAGCAGCTTTAAACGGCCGATCTGCTGTTTCCAGCCTTTAATGAGCATCACCGCAAGATGAAGCGGGTCATGGCATAAACATGGCCCACAACAGAAGCCGTTTCCTCGAAGGTAAGCTGCGAATCCCCCGCTGTGGTGCTCGGACCGGGCCGCTGCTGCAGCTGCTTTCTAGCCGCACACGGCCACCGGATTCCCCGGCTGGCTCCACGCTGCTCCCCCTGCTCATCCTCTGCCCAGGCGGGGGAGCAGGGGGAGCTGCCAGCCTGGCGGCGGAGGTGTTGCGGGTTCGGGTCTTCGGCTGGGGGGGGTCAGCTGGGTCCGGTTTGTTAGCCGATCTGCGCTGTTTGGAGCTGATCCCCGTTAGCGCTGAGGTTAGCTGGATGCTGCTGCTGCAGAGACAGGCCTTCCTGTGGCTGACAGGCGGTTAGCTGCTCCCTGTGTGTTTACTCCGCAGGTGGAGGCACAAATAAACAAACAAAAAACAAACAAACAGATAAATAAGCAGAGATGTGTTTGTGTCCAGAAGCAGACAGCTAACCAGCGCTAGCTCTGATGCTAGCAGGCTAGCTCTGAGAGGGTAGATGTAAACAGAAGCAGGATTCATTGTTTCCTCTGAGCTTCTAAACATGGAAGATCCAGAATCAAAGGCCCATTAGGATCCTGATCCGGGTGTCTGAGAGGAAACCAAAGGTTTTTATGTCCAAACAGGATCGAAATGTCCTGTTGGAACTGAAGATAGAGGAGCTGCTACCAGAACCTGGATTAATTTCACCTCCTCAGGTCCAACAGATCCACTGAATGATGCTCTGCTATGTAGGTCAATAGAAAAAGACTGGATGTAGTTTACATTTATAGAACTTCACATTCCAGGTATACAAAGACATATAACACACATTCATCATCTAAAGAAATACAACTTTCCACACTAAAAATATAAATATCTACATATTGTCACTATCTATATAATTCAATTCTATTCAGTTTATTTCTATAGCTCCAATTCACATCATGTCATCTCAGGTCACTTTCCAGTTCACCA